TCAAACAAAATATTTTAATATAAGCATATTTATTTCTAAAAAGTTTATTTGAAAATAAACGATTTACATATCAATTTATCCGTCATCTTTTTCATGTTTTTCCATTAATGTGATATTTAATTTTAATAAATTATTTGCATTTAAGTTTAAACACATGATTACAGTACATATTAGATTCAAGATTTTAAAGACATTTATAATACCGTACCTTTCATTCACATGTATTTTTAAACTATCTGTGATACAAAGTATGATAAAATTGGCACTTAAAATTTTTTACAAAATTTTAAAAAATCAAATTTAAAAAAATTCACAATATAGAAAATAAAAAAAGAATACAAATCGTTTACCATCTACAAATTAAAAAAAGTTAAGAAATATTTCTTTTATTTCATTTTTAATAATTAATTTAAATAAAAGAATTTAGAAAAAATGGCATTAATTTATTCAAAATTAAAAAAAAAGATCTAAAATACATGTATATAATTTCAAATATTAATTTCAGTTACCATTCATTGCAATGTAAGCATTTAATAAGTAAATTTTAACCTTTTTCTTGTGGTTAATCAACAGACTATAGGTCACCTGTAATTAATATCAGCCAAAACCAGTCACCTGTAACATTTTCAGAATTTTGGCTAAGTGGGAAGACACCCTCCTGACAGTCTAAAGAAGACCCTTTTAATCATGAAATCAAAAGGTCAAAGGTGTAGGTAAAAAAAAATAATCATACATTGCAAAAACAGCTAGTTTCCAGATGATAAATTTTCTTTTGGCTTTATTCCATGAATTTAATATCACCTCATATGGCCTTAAAAAGCCACTATTGAGCTTGAGATAAAAAGGTCAAAGGTATATTGAATTGTATCAATATTTTTTACCCTGACCTTTCCATTGACCTTGACTTCACTTAATTCAAGTGTGTTTTGCACACATTCAAGAAATTAATCATGATATTTTTGATTTAACTTATATGCTGATACATTTTGGTGAGTGCTTTTGAACTACATCAAAATGGTTTAACCTTGACCTTTCCTTTTGAACTTGACCTGATTTTTCTTGAAGTTGCATCCAGCTTGATTTTAAAGAAACTACTCTATATATTTTCATGTACTAGTAAAATCATATGTTCTGTTACATAATTTGGTGATAATTCATCAATTCTGATAATTTTTAGCTCTACTGGTCAGAGACCAGAAGAGCTTATGCGATAGTAATGCGTCCGGCGTCCGTCCGTCTGTCTGTCTGTCTGTCGGTCTGTCTGTAAACAATTTTTCAAAACGCTACTCCTCCTACAATTTTAGTCTGATTTCAATATAACTTGGCACACAAGTAGACTACACTTAGATACATAGAATAGTGCATCCGTTTTTGATTTCGATGAACGGTGTTGCCATGGTTACTAAAAATAGAATTTTCTGAGAAATTCCTTTAAAATGCTACTCCTTCTACAGTTTTGGTCTAATTTCAATATTACTTGGCACATATACACTTTAGATACATAGAATAGTGCATCGGTTTTTGATTTCGATGAACGGTGTTGCCATGGTTACTAAAAATAGAATTTTCTGAGAAATTTCTTTAAAACGCTACTCCTTCTACAGTTTTGGTCTGATTTCAATATTACTTGGCACATGAGTAGACTACACTAAGATACATAAAATAGTGCATCGGTTTTTTATTTCAATGAACGGTGTTGCCATGGTTACTAAAAATAGAATTTTCTGAGAAATTCCTTTAAAATGCTACTCCTTCTACAGTTTTGGTCTAATTTCAATATTACTTGGCACACAAGTACACTACACTTAGATACATAGAAAAGTGCATCGGTTTTTGATTTCGATGAACGGTGTTGCCATGGTTACTAAAAATAGAATTTTCTGAGAAATTCTTCCAAAATGCTATTTTTCTTAATGAAGTTTTAGTTCGATTTCAGTAAGACTTGGTACATAAGTAGCTTATACAAAGATACTTAATTTAATTAATTAGAAATATCATGTTATTATCTTTTTATGAAATTTAATTTCAGAATGTCAGACATATAAATACTCCCCACCTTGTTTCCTGTTCAATCAAACCAGTAGAGCTACAGTCTCGACAGAGACTTCTGGTTTCACTTTGACCTTTGTAATGACCTTTAACTTTATTATATATTGTGCATAAAACTTGTTTTAAAGAAACTTTTTCATTTTCATCAAACGTATTTCATACACCTATACAAATTTTTATTTTTATATCATTAATGAACCTTGGGCAGGGCGTTCCTATTCTAGTTTTGCATTGAAACTACGGTACATGCACTTGGTATTTTCAATCTCACCTTTTTCACATGAAGTAATTTAGCAAGTTTTAACAGATTCCAGAAATGATTTTCAATAAAATTCTCTCTAACTAGTCTGAGAATAAACACAACTCAAAACTTGTCACATTTGATACTCAGCTTTTTGTTATCAAGCCATGCACCATCAGTGCAGGAGCTTTTTGAAGTGTGGGTAATTAAGCCTAAGAAAATAAAATATCACCAATTTATGCACTGCAGGTTCTAAGGTGAAGATACAAGATGATTGAAGGAGGAAGAAAGAATTTAGTCTGGATATTGTCAGTGAATTTGAGTTGCATAAAAATAGCTTCGCAGACCAAATACAAAGTATTGAAATTCATGACCCAGGCAAGGGGTCTGGCACATTGAATATTTGTCAAATGAAATAATTTCTACTAAATTCTAATTTTGCGGGCTGGTGTATTCCAATACGCTTTACTGTGTGCCAGAACCCAATAAACTGGAAACAGAAGGAGTCTGTGTCAGGAATATCCCTCCTGGATAAATGACAATTGGACATTTACCAGCACTGATTTACTCCCAGCTCTTTTATATAAATTCCAATATATGTAAATTTTAGATGGACTTTCATTGGACGCTAAGCCACAAGGGAACAATGTCAAGGAAAATTAGTTTACATTGGGGGCCATCATATGTGACTTAGAGTGGCCTGTGTTTCATTTAGTGGTCAATGGATGACTGATGTTGGACATGGTTGTTTGTTTTTACTAGAAAATGGTCTGTCTGATCACAATCAGCTCTGTCCTCCTACTCTTTGTATTTGTATAGATATGTTTATTGTGCTATATCAAAATTGGGATTAACCTAACCCTACATCTGCAGACCAAGGAACATATGGATGTTTTAGTTTCTTTCCATGTCAAGAACTAATCAAAATATACAAGCTAGACTTTATGAGTTTAAGTTTTTGAGATTTTGGTTTTCCACAGACCTATTTGAGTTATAGGAGATATTAGAAGCTACAAATAAAAAAAAAAGTACATGGTTTATTTGTCCAATAAAATTTTAGTACCTGCATGTGTACCGGTATTTGTTTCCAGACAGTCAGTTTACAAAGTACAACCAAAAGAACACTATATAAAACAATGTTATAACAAAATGCCAAGGATGGATGATTTTGTTTCATTAAAAGCATAATTGGTTACTGGGTGTATCCAATATGTTTACAATATCTGTCAAAGCTCTGGGAAATAAAAATCACTTTGTTATAATTAAGCAACAAATCATTATAAGCGTGTTTTCTATAAGCGTGTTTTACTGTATGTAACTGCCCTTTTTTGGAAACACAAATTATCATCTTTGATATTAAAAACCACAGATATCACTTTAAGCAAATTTTCTATTGTCTGGCAGAAAAATTTTATCCATTTTCTCTAATTTCCTGCGATTTAAAGTCTTCCATGTGGTACTCTATACAGTAAAACAATTAAGCCACTGGGATGGTATAAATGATTCTGTGTCACAGTAGTTGCTGGCATGAAAAAGATACCTCACTGCTCAAGTGCCGAGTACTAGTATTGGACAAATTTATAGCTGTCCACCGGCAAGTGGTTGTGTCTCCATATGAGTGAAAAATTCTCGAGAGGGATGTTAAACAACATACAATCAGTCAATCATTCAATTAAGGTAGGATTCTTCTCACATTTCTTGTATTTAAGAATTAATGAAATTTTAAGCATATTTGACAACATCACTAAGTGCATGTTATACTGTATAATATTAGAGGCAACTCAAGGTCCCTTTTTTGGACATTAACACAAAAATTACTGTTTCCTCATGCGATCCTAACTTGTAATTCAAGAGATTGAATGTTTTTCTTTTTGTATAAAAAGAAACCATATAGGGCCTATAATATGATATTACCAAATTGACATGGATAAATTTTGGATATTTTAATATATTAAAAAAGTTTAATATGCTTCCTATATTTAACTTTTTCCAATTTTCACATATAGTAAAGTTGTCACAAAAAGGTACATAATGATACAAAACTAAAAGTTTTGATCATTTACTTAGAGAGAAATTACACTTTTTACGGATATTTGGCTCAAAGCTGTACTTAGATTTGAAGCATTTAAAAGCCAACATAATCTAAGTATTATTTTGAAAACTTATTATTATATCATATGAAAATAATAAAGTACAGTGTACCTGGAACTTAAGCAAAAGTAAGGTTATACAGTATATAGTGCTAGAAATTCTAGAAAGGTTTACTTTTTAAGTAAATAAGTTAGTAAAGATGCCTTAATTTAGTTGAATATGTTAAACAAGTGTGATTTTTATGTAATTCTGTAAAAAGGGTGTATATGAACTGGTCATTTAATTGTGCTGCATAATGGAACCTGGCAAGCAGCAAAAGCAACATTGGTAAAGCATCAGTACCTTTTCTGAAGATTTCATGGAGGAAAAAAGATTTAAATATAGAAATCTTGCTAAATAAAGACAACTTTATTGAGAATTTAAAGTAATGAAATGCATAAATCTGGCAAAGAATTCAAATCTGAATAATCATGTAAAATTATACATGGTTTAGGCTTCAGGAATTGCAGTTGTGCGTATTTCATTAATTGACACCAGCCGGAGGGTGAAATAAAAAGTGAAACTTGTCCCATTGGTTCCAGCATGACCATGGTTATTGTTAAATGCTGCATTTTTTCAGGGGAATCCCTTTGTGCAGTTGAGTGTCCTCCAGCATTTCCATACATCACCATGACATCACACAGCGGGTACCACGTAATGGCTGCTAGGAATTGTCGCTGATTGCCATGGACAACCAGAATTTGAGTCCAATTATGGTAACAACAGAAATCAGAACACATTTTTAGATCATTTTAAACTGCTCAGGGTCAATGCTGCATAAATAAGTGTACTCCGTAATCACAGATTCGAGGATAAAGATGATTTTACAATTAGAATGACTAACACACATTGTCATTACATTGTTACAAGGAGCATCAAACGGGAAATTTTGTAACTGATTGTGCTTCTAGCATCATGTGCTGCTAGATGACAACTTTAGATGTCGTCCACAAATGGCTATAATGAAGTCATCCTTATATTCAAACTCAGTCAGCTAATTAGCTTGAAGTAGCCATTGATGCAAGTAATATGGCCTGTGCCCATATCAAGATTTTATTTGTGATTCTTCTGCGTGACTTGACGGGATCAGATGAATGAAGACTACACTGTTTTTACAATGTTAGTTCTCCTCTCTCTGTTAAACTATCTGCTGGAACTAATACCAGTACATGTGACCAATGAACATCTGCCACTATGTAGTTTCACTGTCTCATGCCATTATTGAAATTATGTACACTAAGTGTATATAAGTACATTGATTAACATTTGAACTTTAGGAGGTATGTCATTCCAGCTATTTTTGATTTCAATTGGCACATCCTTTTCAAATTTTTTGTGTCAGATATATGTAAATTGTAACATATTTTATTTCGAAGTCACATAAAATTTACATGTTGATATATATATATACTGGTATCTCATCTTATTTATTAGGAAATGTAATAAAACAGAGCAATTTCTAAATGTTAAGATGTCAAACACTCAAAAATTTCAAGGTCTCGTTTTAGAATACTGTGACTTTCTAAAATAACTTACCGGTATGCCACTAATTTTGTATGCATTTGATTTGAATGACCTTCAAAATGTTTCACAAAAAATCTTTTTCTGCTACAGTACTAATTAATATATAAACTGCTAGACAGTTGGTCTGAGTATGCTTTTGACTCATAAATCATGGCACTTTTAGGTAGCGGTCAGTTTGAGATGATCAATTAAAAATATATATTTAATTGGAATATATAGACATTTTTGCTGTAACAGCTTAACAGAGTCTGTTTAAATTTGATGTTTAGTAATTAAATTGTCTAAGTGGTGCTTAGACAAATTGAAAAATGCACAACTAATATCCGTAAACTGAAACCTCAAGGCCTTCTAAGTAAATGCAATGCTTGTTGAACTATGTATTACTGTTATGTCAATAAAGTCAAGATGCTTATTTATCAATATATGTATATGTAAAGTACTTTTTATCTAGAATATGATATTAGTTGGTGGGAATATTACATAAATGCTCAAAACTTTCTTGGTAATTTGGATGGTTTGGAGGAAAGCTAGCTACAATGTCATTTGTAAAATTCAGAGTTTATGACATTGATTGAATAAGGATTTTCTTTTTACCTGGATAAACCAGAGAGATCATGACTTTGCATGTAAACCTGTGTGGTTCAGATTAATCATCCATGTTTATGTAACATAATGAAGAAGAGAGCCATCCGATTTCTTTTGCTGATACTTTCAAATCCTTAGCCGGCACTGTGTAACCCAGCTTTGTCAGTCACTAAATGAAGCAAGCAGAGTCAGGGACTCTGTTTTATTTACTGGTAAACAATGTTTTTCATTTAAATGCTTTCTTTGTAAGTCTTGATTCGGATATATAGAATTACCGGGTGATTCACTGTAGCTTTAAATAACAGCCTGGAGCAAAGGCCTGAAATTCTAGTATCAATTCCTCGTTCTACCTTCCTTTGATCAGTATTGAATTGTAAGCCTCCTTTTGTTTCTAATGTCTGTATTTCAGGTAATTTTGATAGCATACAGACCTTTCTTTGCTCTATATATCATAACAGTAAACAAGGCCTATCCATTACTGATCAGACTGGAATCACAGGCCTTCATCAGTCTACCCAACACTGCGGATTGTTGTTCTGTGTCGCCCTAACGCCACACTGTCGCCAAAAAACGCTACATGGAGTCTTCGAGAAATTTACAGTTATGTCCATTAACCTATGTCTCTGAGATCATTTTTTGGATCTAATCTTGTGATGATCGATTGGTGATTGGCCCCTAACCAATACATCTGCGTATTGGAGGTCTGTATTGATGAGCTTTATCAGAATTATAATCTGCCCTTATCATAAGTTTTCTTTTGGGTCTGTTTAATTAGCAATCGGAGCTCTTTTGTAGAGCTGTAAAGGCGTAAAGAGGAGCTGAAATATGCCTTTAAATGATTTTAAAAATGGCACATGTGGACATTTGACATTGACAGGTATTATGTATGCCTGGTCACAGCTTCCCGAGTCTAGGACAGGAAGTCATTCCGTAGCCTCAGTGTCACCAATAGACCACAGAATACCTATAAAACACTGTAATGTGGATATATCATAAAGTGCAGTGCACATTAAGAAATAATGATAATTAATGATCTCTGATTAATCTGTGTCTGAACTAATTCCCCTTTCTGTTAACTTGCATTTGTCATATTGTATAAAATTTAAGTAAATTCAGAAACGTTTTAATCATAGAAAAACGTAACATAAACCTTTGACTTATTTAGGCCAAATATATGTCTGTCCCAAATAATTGATAAAAGATTCATAAGCTGGACTTGATTTTCTTTGAACTTCAGAGAAAGAAGTAATGCCAAGATGTCATCTGTTGTATATAAGTTTACGAGATGAGGATTAACAGATACAGGGTAGCGGGGGTATGCTGCGGAGACCTCTCTTTGCACTTTATCTGAGACTAAGACTTCTGTTGGTCCAAACAAGAATTAAGTGTAAGTGATTTTTTATCTTCAAATGTGTGGTAAAAAGTGAATGTTTGTAGAGGGAACAGAATGTGACAAACTTGGCCACAAACAGTGATGGCAGAATGAGGATGTGTGATGAGACCCAGTTTACCCGGGGCTGAGGGATACATCCTCCAGAGAGGGAGATTGTATTGGGAATATTGAATATCATGGGATTGTTTCTGTTTTTCACAATTCATTTGGGGCAAGTTTTGGGGTTTGTTTAACAGTGTTTAGGAGGTCAAGTATTTTTTTTCTCAAAAATGTATCGTGGCTTGTGAAAAAGGTAGTCTAGGATGTCAAATATAGGTTGCAGTATGCTTTTGCAAATTTCTAGAAGTCTGCCTTTGTCTAAAATGCAGATTCAGATTTGATCCAATGTTATTGCTTTTGAAATGTGAGGCACATAGAGAAAAGAAAAAAAAATTTCATTTCTATTGATCAGAGAGCAGAAGGACTTATGTGATTGTAAGGTGTCCTTTGTACATCTGTCTGTTTAGCTGTCTGTCTGTAAACAAATTTCAAAAAGCTACTCCTACGATTTTGGTGTGATATCAATATACTGGTAACTTGGATGAACGGTGTTGCCATGGTTACCAAAAAATATAAATTTCAGGGAAATTCTTGCAAAAGCTACTTTCCTTTCAGTCTTAATTTGATGGCAAGAAAACCTTGCCACAAAGAGAAACTTAACTAAGGATCCTAATATTCTATTTATTACTGTAACATAGTTTCAAGTCCAAGTGATACTTTTCTCTTCCTTTGTTTTTAGTACAAAACCAGTAAAGCTACAGTCTCATCAGAGACTTCTAGTTCTGATCCTCATAATGAAGTGACATTGTTCACAAGGGCTTTGTTTTTATTTCATTTGATCTGTAATTGGTCAATGAATTTATTGTTAATGCCCTTTTTATTGCTGATATTAATAGTGTCCATCTCGGATTCTCCTAGATTGGTTGGATAGTGATATATCCAGTCTCCCCTCTGGGGGTATAGTCAGTAGACGACAGCTAGGGAGACTGCCCATGTCTGTATAAAGGTACACTCAGGGGTCAAATAAGGTCAACTGTTTTCTGACAGAAAAACAAGACCTTTGATGAGAGGCCTTGTGTTGCCTGCAGTCTTCAAAAAGTAATGACAAAAACTTAAAGACCAGTGGTTTGTTTGTTCTACATAGTTATTAGGGTCTTCTGATGTTTGTGTCATGGACTTCAACCTCCAGAAGAACATGGCTGTTCACAGTTTGTTTCTCTGTGAAAAGTTACCTTTGATCTAGGTTCTTTATTTTCTTTGTATACAGGATGGATTATTGTAATGTCACTTCAATTCATAGGTATTGAGGAGAATTTCTGTTTGAAGATTGAAGGAGATTACCTTTATGGGGCTACAGAGATTTTTTTGTATGCTTTTTAATTTGATAAGATTTTTTTTCAAAATTGAATCTATTAGAAATTCATGAAAACTCTTATCTGCAATAATCAAGGCACATATATGAAAAAAAAGTTTCACTTAGGTTCATTTCAAAGTGTGATAAAATGAGATGCTGATGTTTCTGTCTAGCTGGTTTGTGGATCAAGGTATTTGTGTCCATATAGCAGCTTTTCCTGTGGATAGACCCTTCAAACTTGTCAGTGGAAAAAGGCTATGTAGATCCTTTCCACATAACCACCATTTGCAGAATAAAAAGTGTCTGTAATTCACAAATATGCAGTACATCCAGTAAAATATATTCAAACTTAATTATCTGGAACCTGGGTAGGAAAATATAAACCCTTTCAGATACCCTAAGGTTCAAGTTATGCATAAGAAAATGCATAAGAAAAAGTGGTTAGGACTTCTAAGTAACTTCAACATATCCAAAATATTCAAGATTCCAAGGCTTTGAGATATGCACTGAAATGCAAAAATTTCTAAAAATGAACACCTCACCATCAACCAACCATTCTGCCATTGGTTATCTTAGCTTTGCAGAGATAGAGCCTTAAATATTAAGAAGCATCAAAATTATTCTGAAGGTATTATAGAGTTATTGCCCTTTATATCACATTTATGTGTTGTACTCTGTCTTCATGAGATCTTACAAGTATTTACATGCAGTGAAACCAGGGCCCATTATAACTGATCATGCTACAGAGTTAGTGCCCTTTATCTCACATTTTTGGTTTGTATTATTACACAGTTTTATTCTGTCATCATGAATACTTGTATTTAAAAACAGTGAAAGGGGCTTAGGTTTTCACATATTATGGAGTTATTGCTCTGTATATCACTTGTTGCAGAATTGTTACCATTTCATCATGATAACTTTTAACAGGTCTTCTTAGCAGATTACAGTTATTTTCATTTGGTTTCTCCACTGGCTGTTACATGAATTTCAAGGTTAGGACTGTAATGTTAATCACTTGTTACAATCTGTACATGCAGCTCCTGGGTTGGGTGTTGATATTCCTGTGATGAGCTGGACCCCAGGGCATGAAGATATGTAAGTGGGTCACAAAGTGAGAGCATTATGACATGTCAGATCTGGATACACACTGAAAGTGAAGCAATCTGGCCATAAATTTCACCCTCCAGGACAAAAATCACACTGTCAGTTACAGCTGATATGTCTATTTACAGTTATAGTTGATGGCCTGTTTTCATACTGGTACTTGAGTTCTTCAAGGAGAGAGGGGGAGGATGTAAAAAAAAAAATTACAGATTTTAAAAGTAATACAGATTCATATATAAGCATGAAATAATTTTATAGAGAGATATTACATTGATCTGTATATTTTGATGGTTTGGAGATTTTTTCATTGAGTTAAGATGTAACAGGAATGGGGACAAGGCAAATTGGTTGATGAAGTTGTCAAGGTAGATATGTTATTGCCTGATTATTATTTTATTATTCTACTTTTATATAGCGCCCTATATAATTATGGAATTACCCTAAAGCGCTTTACACGTAGAAAACAATTACAATATAAAACAAAGGACGGGTACAATATAAAATAGCAAAAAGGTAAAATCATAGGGCATTTTTTTTTTTTTTTTTTTTTTTTTTTTTTTTTTTTATAAAACCAACTGGATGCTCCATTGTGACTAGAGCCTTATAAACTAAAGGCGAGTCTAAAAAGATGTGTTTTTAGATTTCTTTTAAAAACTTCAAGTGACTGTTCTTTCCTAAGATCCAGCGGGAGGCAGTTCCACAGGGTGGCTGAAGATACATCAAACCTTCTATCTCCATACATCTTACTTCGAGTGCGTGGTTTGACAAGGCTCAGTGAATCCCCAGACCGTAGTGAACGTTGTGGGCGATAGACCTGAACAAGTTCCTGGATGTATTTCGGGGCTAGCTTCTGTAAGGCCTTGAAAGTGTACAACAGAATTTTATATTGTGCACGGTATGCCACAGGTAGCCAGTGAAGAGTTATGAGAATTGGTGTTATATGTTCATGTTTTCTCAAACGTGTCACCAGTCTGGCTGCAGTGTTCTGAACTTTCTGCAACTTTTGCAAGGATGTGGCATTGAGGCCAAACAATAGTGCATTGCCATAATCAAGTCTAGATGTCACTAAAGATCTAACAAGTGTCCTGCAAGCATCCTCTGTTATGAGTGATCTTATTCTACCGATGTTACGGAGATGGAAATAACAGGATCTTGTAACCGAATTGATTTGACAGTCCATGCTTAATTTGCTGTCGAAAAATACCCCGAGATTTTTGACACAGGAAGCATTACTGATGACTGATCCACCAAAAGCGAGTTTACGTCCTGTAAATTCATTTGCCATACGTTTCGGTGTAAAGATGATGAGTTCAGTCTTATCCTGGTTTAACTTAAGGATGTTGTTTTGCATCCAGTCTTGTATATCAGACAGACACCGTTCAAGTCTATTCGCAATGTCGTCCCAACTGTCCTTCGGGTTAATAATCAGGTAAACCTGTGTGTCGTCAGCATAACAGTGGTAATACATGTTATGTCTCCGGCAAATTTCTCCGATGGGTTTGGAGAACATACAATATAGACGAGGTCCTAAAACAGACCCTTGTGGTACACCAAACTGGAGTAAGAACTCTCTCGAGAATGTCGAACCTACAGCAATTTGTTGACTTCGACCAGATAAATAAGACTTTATCCATGAAAGCGCCGATCCTGTGATACCAAACGCGTATTCGATGCGACTGATTAGTATATCATGATCAATCACATCGAATGCAGCCGAGAGATCTAGCATTACGAGAGCAACGCATGAATTCTTATCCAGTGCAGAGGTAATATCATGGTGCACCCGTAGCAGGGCAGTTTCTGTAGAGTGACTACTTCGGTAGGCCGACTGCACGTTATCATGAAGCTGGTAAGCGTATAGGTGTTTTTCGAGTCGAGATGCCACCGCTTTTTCTAATACTTTAGATAAAAAAGGCAAATTTGAAACAGGTCTGTAATTTTTGAATTCATCTTTGTCAAGTCCTTGGCGCTTAATCAATGGACGTACTATGGCCTTTTTGAAATCCAATGGTACTGACGCTTCTGAGAAGGATTTGTTGATAATTTCAGTGATGATTGGCAAAAGACTCTCCAAACATTGTTTCAAAACATTTGTGGGTATTGGATCTAGCTCGCAAGACTTCGTTGGTGCATCGCCGATAATGTCACATACCTCAGCAATCGACACTGGTTCAAACGCTTCCAGAGGAATGCCATCAAACTTGATGTCAGCTCGAAGGACAACTTCCATAGTAGGAGACTTGGTCAAGGAGCAAAGGTTTTCTCTGATTTTCTGGATTTTACCGATAAAAAATTCACCAAATTTGGATGCGAGATCGATTTCGCTGTCATGTTCTGGCAGGACTGATAAATTTGTGTTTCCCATGAGACTGTTGGTAAGTTTAAAAAGCTGTTTCGAGTCGCTGCCTATTTCCTGAATTTTGTTTATATAAAACTGACTTTTACAGTGTTGTATGAGTTTTGTAACCTGCATACATTTCTGATTGAAAATGTCCTTGTGGACTGCTAGGTTAGTTCGTCTCATAGTTCGTTCAGCCCTTCGGCGATCTCTCTTAGCAGAATAAAGATCATCCGTAAACCAAGGAGTATTCGGTCGTATAACAATCTCCTTTGATTTCAGAGGGGCATGAACATCAATGGTAGCAGTAAGAACTCTGTTGTAGTGAATGATAAGCTTTTCAACAGATGCTTCCTTGTAAGTCACGTTTGAAAAATCAAGATCGTTTCTGAAATTGTCTATGTTGATGTCATGAATTTTCCGAAAGGTTACCGTTCTTCTCTCTCTCGGAGCTTTGGACAGACGCAGTAAAGTGCGAATTGCAGGTGGTCACCACTTCTGTTTCCATTGTTGTCACATATACCAGGATCTGCTACAAATGGCGTTCCCTGTAATATAGAACTATCTTCTCTGGTTATCAACACATCTAACGTATGACCAAGACGATGTGTTGCATCGGAAATATGCTGCTTTAATCCATGTTCTGTTAGCAACTCTGTAAATGTTCTAGCATCTTTGTCATTGGGATCATCAAGATGGAAATTTAGATCACCTGTGATAAGTAATTCACCAGGGATTAACACGAGACTGTCCAGATAGTTGGTCCATTCTTCAAAGAAAACGGAATTCTTGAATTTATTTGATTTAGATGGTGGTGGGCGATATATAACAGCGATGCGAATAAAGTTGTTTTTGACTCCAACAGAGCACTCTAGATGTTCAAAATGAGTGTATTTGGCATCTTTGTTTGCAGGTTTCACACTAACCCGTTTTTCGTGAATAATCGCCAGGCCTCCACCCCTTCGATCTACCCTTGGTTTATTTATGAAATGATATCCGTTTGGTGTTAGTTCAGACAAAATGGCGTTATCTGTGTCTGATCCTAGCCATGTTTCAGTCAGCACCATGAGATCGATGTTATTTGACTGAATGTAATCATTTATGGATACTGATTTATTTCTTGAAGATCTACAATTGAGAGTACATAGTGAAAGAGTTCCTGACGAGTTGGCTATTGGAACTCTACTTGTTTCAATTTTCAAAAGATTCGAACCATCTCGACAGCTTGTATTGTCAATTCTCTTTGTCCTGTGTTGTCCTGATCAATTATTTTCAACAAGTTTCAGCTTTTCAAACAAAGTTACATTATAATTTTTATTTATTGATCAGGGAAGGTATTGCAAAGAATAAAAAAAAAATTATTTATTTTTAAACCAGAATTTTTTTAAAAAAATTCTCAGTCAGGGATAAAATAAAAAAAAAAACAACTAAAAATTCATGTTTATTATATAAATAACTTTATAACATGCATGATAAAGGCTAAAAATGAAAAGTATACGTTTATCTTTCTCATTTAATTAATATGAGATATTTAATTTTCCCTTTTCCACGAGGCATGTATTTCCAGAAAAAAGGTTTAAGAAACCCTCTGGAAAAATATAATAAATTATCTAGTCTTGAAAAACTGACTGTTATTTGAATATAAGAAAAAGAGCCTTCCTCCATGAGACACTGTTGACAGTTTATTTACTGGAGCATTAAAGTTAATTTTGTCCTCTACAAATCAATTTACATGTTCAGGTGGAAAGGTCAACCATTGGGAAGTAGTCCTAAATGTCTAGAGATCTTGTGAAGATTGCAAGCTGCTCCATGCCTTCTATGTATTCTCTGTATACCATTGATTTTTTTTTTTGAAGTGTGCCATATGTGCACAAAGCAGCTTTCACTGTCTTCATATCTATAGCATCAGGTGAAAATATCATTATGGTAATGCATCAGCTCAGTAGCTCTAATTGCTTTTGTATATATTGCAATGGCATTCTGGATTCCATTTTTCTTAAAATCAATATTTTAAAAATTATTTTTTTTAAAATAACTTAAAAAAAAAATAAAACACTGCAAAAGACAGCCAGAAATTGTTTTTCACCTGAACATATGTATTAATTTCACCAAAGTGTTCATTTAACAACTGTTATGCTACCTCACAAATTACCTGTCCAGAAATGTGTGAAACCTGCTTTTGATGTTCTTTAATTTTCATTACCATAATTCAATCATATCTAATAGAGTTATAATGACATCAATGATTATGTGTAATTGATATTGGCAGATATAACAACTTACCCCCACAACAAACCTAACCTGAGGCCTCAGCACTGTACGCAAGGCTAACAGACCATCCTGCCACCCCCTCAGTCTGTGAATGGATTGATCCCGATTTCTCATAATGAACTAAATATCACTGTATGTTGATAGTGAGGGCAATGGAAGCATGCTGCTTTGTCAGGCTCTGGAGCAATTGGCATATGACAGGATCGGGACTGTAATAGTTTAGGAAGATTTAGAATTTCCTTGTGGATCTAGGACAAACTAGGCTTAATTACCTATCCTGACACAGTTTTTGAATGGATATTGATTTTAGTGTATTTGAGGAAGCGCTTCTGACTGATTAAAGGTGTTGGATTAGGAGTGGACCACATGGTTTTGTAAACAAAACACTTTAAACTTAAGTTGGAGAGGAGAGAAAAAGGCAGACCACTGATAAAAATTACTGGAGAGATTTTTTCGCAGTCAGTCTGACATTCCAGTACATGGGGTGCTAAAACTTGTGTGTTTACATCTTCTGGAACCTCATGAAAACATAGAAATTATTTGGAACCATGAGGATCTCTCAGAATTGGGTGAAATTAAAAGTGAGTTGGGAGACTGGACAATGGATAATTTGTCTGTTGTGGATTGGATTATATCAAGTTCATGCACTAGAACTCGGTAAGTTTTGTTTTATTGATGACGAATAAGTATGTTAATGCATTGCAGTTTAATTTATTATAGGCAATTGATCCAAAAACAAAAATCAAAAAATAAAAATAAAAATATTTATTGTAAATTTAAAAAATAATTTAAAAAAAAAAAAACAATATTAAAATTCATAAAAAGTGCAAACATCTGAGTAAAAAGGCTGAAATTAATTTCAAATGATAAATTCTTGATCATAAGTCCGCCAAAAATTTGCGTGGTTTAGTGGCGGTGTCTATTTGAGGTGTGACTGTCATCTAAGACTACACTATTGTAAAATTTTATAAACATGGGGTTAGAAGATCAGATTTTAATATTCGAGGAACAATAACAATATACACTTTAATTTTTATTGCATGTATATAGTACATATATATTATATTAAAGAGAATTATTACAATTAAATAATGTAAATGAGATGTTTTGAATTTTTTAAAGCAAAATTTAATTGATTCAGACAAAAGGTTAATGAGAAAAATGTACTTTACCAAATTACAACCCAACCTCACCAACAAAAATCAAGAACAAAAACAAAATTTAAAAAAAAGAGAAATAAAAAAAAATTCCATGTAAATTTTCATCAAAACATTTTAGAAATTTAAACTGTGAGACAAAAAATTTAGAAAGTTAATTGCCGTCATGTAGTGTTTTAACACAAAAAATACTGGTAGACAATCCTCAATATTGCCATTATATCTTCTGCACAATTTTGCATTCAAATTGTTATTTTCTCTCTCGATAATTAAAGATTTGATCAGCCATTTTCTCCATGGTTTTTGTGTTCATACATTTGGAGGATTGAGAACAAGAAAACACCAGGGACCAATCAATGCTATAATTGTATTGATTTCTCCAAAAACAGCATTAAAAATTCCCTTTTATCTTTTGAGTGAAGTCTAAGATTGTGTTCATTAGTGAAATAATAAAAGCTCTAACATTTTTTTCCCATCTGTTTTAATTGAAAGAATAAATTGAATGAACATGATGGGAAGTTTTCTAATTATTATAGCCAAAAAAATTTTTAAGCGACCCTTTAAAGAATACTTGAAAAAAAGGAATAAATTAAAAATTTTTGTTTTGACAGAATTTTTTATAAGTTTTTTTTTCTTTGATATTTGTGGATAACGGAAAGATCTTCGGAGCTCGATCATTTAAAATTCAGGTGAATTCATCCTTTTTAAGTTATAAATAAGTGATAAGCTGTGTATCCAACAAAAAACTCTTTCTTTAACTTAACAGAAAAATTATGATATAATCAGTGAATGAATTCTTTCATTGACAACAAACATTTTCATAACCCTGAAGGATCAGAAAGATCAATACAATTTAATACTAACTGTCAAAAACTACCCTGTAATGGAATGCAGGCCCTATAATTCAGTTCCTCTAGAATTGAATCAGTAGACCAGTATAATTGCTCCTTCCAAAGATTAAATTTTATCTCCCATAAAATCAATCTGATATATATTTATTCTTAGTGAAATTGAAGATTTATGGGGAAATGACAATTTCCCAACACTCTGATAAGATCAGAGGCTTATAAGACCCATAATTGATCTCATCGCAAACTATTTGAAAAAATAACAAAAAATTTCTGCTTCATATGCTCAATCAATACACACTGAAATTAAACTATTAACAGAAATTAAAATTAAAAGAATTTTTGATTTAAAAGTTGAGTAGGCCAGCATTTCGCAGATTTTCTCCTAATAACTATTTGTATAGATACTTGTTCAAAGGTGACTTTAGGCCAGGGGGTTAAAATTCCTGTGCATTATCCATCATTGTCTTGCCAGGCTGGCTGTGATCTTACATAATTCCCATTGTCACAATCAGTCAGGTGAACAGCACCGATTACCTAATGAAGGTATAACATCAGGGGAAAAAAGTCTCTGTTGATTCAGCCCCATTGTATGGGATCCTCTGTGTCAATAGAAGGCCAATTCCACTTTCTAAGGCACAGAATTTATATCAAATTAAGATTCTTTACCACTCAGAGCAAATAAATTTACTTTATCATTTAAGAGCATAAGAAATTCTAAATAGTTTGATTCCATGTTTAAAAGATTAGGAAATGACACCTTTAACTGGAATCACAATGTTTATTTATCCCAGTGTAAGAGGAATTAGTTTTCTCTGAATGCTAATTATTGAATGTATATTTTTAAATGGAGAAATAAACAGAGGTTTCCTTTGAAAGAAACGAAATTCTCCCCATGTACATAAAATGTAAATAAAACCACTGCTGGTATTTCTAAAGTGGGAAAATTGATTTAATATCCATTACTGGTATCTCGCAAGTGCCCGTAGCATTTAAGTTTACATTTGTAACTGTTAAAAAAAAAAATAAGACAAAACAGCATTTTTGGTGGGATGCTGTGCGTAGACTTTTTTTGTCTTGGCCCCTGATTTTATCAGATTTCGACTCTGACCTCGGGCCCACTGCCATTGTTTGGTCTGTCGAGGAAATGTTTTTATTTTGTCAAAGGTGGGCTTGATAATATTTTATTTCATGACTTAAAAATCGGTCATTTATTATGCTATAAAGACTTGTTGCCTTCTTTCTTTCTCTTAAAATACAGGCCCATGAAAATTAAAATAGGTTTTTACTCGAAATTTATTCATTACTTCACGGAAGATGAAAGACAAGTTTACATGCAAATGAATGCATATGAATTAACCTCAAAGATTCTAATTATCATAATTATTCCTTAATTGAATGATGTGAACACCTGATAAATTTTCCTTGTAGGTGTCATATTTTTCAGGTGATGACAATGTTATCAGAATGGACTGTATTTGAAATACCGAGTAATACTGGTAAATCTCTTTATCGGGTCCATAATCCTCGGATTTGAAGCAAATAGACACCTATCTTGGTCAAGAACATGATAGGCAGTTGTATAATGGCTAAACAGAGACATGTATACTGGTCTCCAGAGCCAGTGTTTGTGTTGGGGAGTAGTCCATATTTGTTTCTAAGCTATAGACCACGGTCCAAAACAAAGAAGGAGATAGGGGAAAATATGAAGGATTATAGTTTCCATTTATCAAAGGACATCAAAAAGCAATGCTATATCTTCATACAATAACATGTATATAAAGATACTGGCACAGTTTTGATCGCACATTTATTGCATATTCTTCCCTAGCTATACCTTCAGGCTCCGGTATTAATATTTCTACCGATTATTCCATAAACACTTGTTTATTTCTTGGGTCGTCTTTGAAATCCAGGAGAACAAGCAATGATTGTTTTAGTCTGCCTCTGTAAACTATGCCTTCATATATCAAATGGCAGATTTATTCCTTTCTGGAATCTCTTGTAAGACAAGTTTTATTGGTTCCATGGAGCAGCCATTGCTGGTTGCTGACTCTGGTTTCGATCTTGTTTCCACCAATATTTTAAGATGATCAGGTGTAACATTCCAAAGCAATAAAACAATTGATAGATTAGGTGTCAGAAAAAAGTGTAAACAGTTATGTTTATATAAAATAAAGCTGGGGAGTTATCTGTAGATAGGCATACAATTGTAGAGTAAACACAGAAATTCGTAATCATTTGTGGAAAAGAAAAGTTTTCGTTGCACTTCTAGAAATTATCAGCCTCAGAATTGCTAGAGATTTATATAAGACAGAGTGTAGGCCATGCTTTAGAAGAAGTGTGATAGCATTAGGAATATTTGTGAAATCGGAAATATTGGAGTACCAGAGAGACGTGTATTGATTATTAAGTTCAAAATGTGACATGCTAAAAGATTTATTATCGCGTTTGTCGCCACTGTGTCAACTTGTTTAAAGTGAACTTGTGATCTTGCCTTTTTCTTTTAGGGTAACAAAACAATTTCTTTTTTTGAGGGAAATCAATAACCTTTCTTGTGCCAGAAATAATCGCTGTAAAACCCCACAAAAATGGTTGTCGTTGGCACTTAATCGCAAAAATCCCAGACTTTTGTCTTTGCTTGCGAAATTAAAGATACAGGTGTTATTTTCATATCCTGTTCATCTAATGCATGATAAGATTACCTTAAAGGTGTTCAATTAATTTCAAGAGTTGCAAAATTTTAGAAACTCATTTTTTAAATCCTGATAATCCAAATGACCTGCGAAATTTTGCTGTTTTTTCTTGCTAATTTTTTGGTCCTAAGTTCGAGGCCCCTTTTTTTGGGTGGCACTTGTATCAGGTACTTTCTTTTTAAGTTTTAATAATCAATGTTTTTGAAAGTCGACAAATAGTGCTTATTTAAAGAAAAAATGAGTAAACTTGATTCAGTTGAATGTTTGTGTAGGAATGGCTGGTAATGAACACAGTTTGTGCTAGGTTGAAGTGTAATTAGTCGTCAGCTAGATTACACTCAAAATAAAGTATGTATTACCTCGTCACCTTTTATCTTTCACTGACATGTTTGTAGAAGGATTTTTTCCTTCTTTGGATGTATTTTCTCTTTTTTTGGCTCCCATTTTAGATCAGTCAAGTATGTAAAAAAATCAATGCATCATAGAAAACTGGGAGATGTTTAATGGCTCGTCAAAGTGGAAACAAATCTCTGGTCTTTAATCACTCATGTTATCAAAGATTTATCGCAGTTTGGTGACTTAAATGAAGTATGGGACTTTGCAGTATGCTCTTGATTTTCACTTTGTATGTACTTGAGAAAATCTTATTTATAAACCTCCCAAAGTGGACCCTTGTCAATCAAGTTTCAAAGGACTTTTATAAGTACATTGAACTCACAATTTTTTCAGCAGATTTTGATTCACCAAGATTTTTTTTTTTTTTTTTTTTTTTTTAAAAATTTTAACGTATGAAATTGAATGCAGTGCAAAAACATTAGTTAGTCATTGAAAGAAATGGAAGTCCATAGTACAATGCTTTTTGGGAGTTGGGAGTTGTAACCTTTGAGGTTTACAAACATAACCAAGCTCTGTTCTGGGACCAAGCAAATAGTTGTTGTCCAGCTGTGAACCTGACC